ACACAAACATCATTGATTTTCATGTTTTATACAGTAAATTCAGCATTTCTGTTTCTTCCTGTTATTAACAGCTTGCTCCACTTTATCTCACATCAGTGTTTGTTTATGTTACTCTTATTTGTTGTAATTAAATTTAATTTTCTTTGCTTTGTTTGATAATCAAACAATATCGCAGTTGATTTACTCGATGGGGTCAGCAGTCAGACGATCAGATGGGTTTTCAACCATCTTAAAAAGGTTCTATATAACTTTTATAAAACCGTTAATAGTGACACTGTAAGTCTGTTGAGTGCGAGCGAGCGTCATCCTGGGCTTTAGCCAAAAGTGACAACACGGAAACACTGAATGCTGGAGAATAAATTACAATCATATTTAGAGTAACGTTATATCTTTTTGGACCATTAACCAGTTTTTAGGTTTGTTGCGGCCAAAAAAAATGTGATTGAAAGAGAAAATTGCATGTTGTGATGTTTTTAGGCATTTTAGGAAAATAGTTGTTTTGTATAATTAATTAAAGCAGCTTGTTCCAGTAAGTAAAGTGTGCTAGTAGTTTGGTGGCGTATCGCTCAATGTTTAGCTGCTATGATTGGTGAAACTCACAGGAAACTACGATGATTGGTCAAATTTGTGGAAACTAAATATGCAAGTTTGTGCAGAATTCACAGAGATTGGTTGAATTCGAGTTCAGGGTTATTTGTTGAGGGACTGACTGACTCCATGTTAACATGCACAGCCGACCAACCCCAGTTTAGTTTAGCTAGTCGGCTGCAGCTCGATTGAAACCACCTGACTAGATTTGACTGATTTTGCTACGCTAGCTGGCTTTTCACCTTTTTTTTGTTTGTTTGTTACTTTGTTCTCGGGTTTGTTTTGGGAATTTTGTGTCAAGAGGAACATTGTTGCCACATAAACCTGCATGCACCGGCTTCATTAGGGAGCGACAGTACCCAAAACATAGTAAAGATACTTATGAGTGCAGAAGTTATAAGTATTCTGGCCAAATCCAATCTCTAGTATAGCATTAAAAAATGACAAGGAGAGGGTTAAAGGTTCAATTGCATCTTAATGCATCGAAAACTAGTGTAACAATTTTAAACGACATTTGTGAAGTGGAGTGAAATTTTCCACCAAATAATCAGCAGCACTTGAGTGTCTGCAGTGCAATAAAACAAGTAAATAAGCTGTGAATGTGTGTGTGTGACAGGGCAGAGTGCCTGCTTCACACAGGGCACTAATGAACTCAGAGGGCAGATAGAGGACACGCACCAACACACACACACACACACACATTTGGAGTAATAAGCTGCACAGGCGAGTAAAGAAGACTCATTTTATAACCAATAACACCAACCTGAGCTCATAACATAAAATACGATTACAGGACAAAAGCCTGTTATTAAAATATCCAACGACGGCTTGAAAACAGCAGCGGCGAATGCTGCACGGAGGTTTGTGTGTAACCATAGAAACCCAGTCTCTCTGCTGAGACATGGTAGAGAGAAAAGCAGATGTTTGGAGAAAAACTTCCGGACGTCTTAATAAAACTGTCCACATGTCCAGTTTCTACAGCCATACAAAGTTCGGGTGTTGTGTTCAATCCAACAATAATAAACACAATAAAAAGGGGCACAAAATGGCATTAAGCAGGGATAAAACACAATACAGTTATTGCCCCAGATATGTCTAAAAAGTAACTTCCATCTGTGTTTTAACAGTAAAAAAACACTTAATTAAAACACACAAAACAAACATTTTCAATATAAGCAAAATAAGAAACAGACACTAGTTGCCAAATAGCCAAAATCCATATTCTAAAGTAAAATTAAAACCTAACACTTAAAGAACCTATAAAGAGTGATGAAAAAAAAACCTGGTAGCCTTGTTTTTATGATGTGTACTTGACCCAAACTCAAATGTCCTTTCCATTTGCCTAAAATAAATGTAGTTTATGACAAGCTAAAGTAAGCTACATTAAAAAATATTAAATATATATAGGGGGTGTCAGTACACTGTGACATTGGTGTGGCTACAGGTGCAACAGACTCGAAAATACTCTTAAACATATTTTGGAAACTAGATTAAAAGATATATATACATCCCAACTGCCTAAAAACTGCAAAAGATACGATTTATATAATAAAATAAATATAAATAAGATGCTTTCTAACAATGAGAGATGGGTTTTTGGTCCTTTACTTTCGGTGTTTGCTTTTACAGATTATAAATGGCTGCAAGTTGACATTTAGAAATGTCTTTAGATCCTTAACTTGGGTCATTTCTCATGATAACTGCTACTACTGCAGCTTCCACGCCGACTGTAATAAGTGACGCAACCGCGCAGAATTTGGCTAACGCCGGACACAAAGCGGCGATTCATCAGAATAAGCGTGACTCATAAATGACACCAAACAACAGGGTGTTATACGATACAGCAGGTCTGCGAGTTGTTTACAAACACACACACACACATACACACACTGTTTATTCACACCACGTCCAACCGCAGAGCCTCGTGGCTGCCAGGTATGTGGGTTGGTAGCAGGCGGCATGAACACACACACACACACACACACACAGACACACACACAGAGCTCATCAGGGTGTCCATGTGTTCAGTGTCAGAACTGTGTGTTCTGTTATTGTGTCCCTCCTCACTCGCCCAGCCTCCTCAGACCACAACACCCTGCCAATAAAATACTTTAGTTTTTTTAAGACGGCCCGCTGAACTCGGCCAGGCCTCGTCTCCTCTGGACCGAGCTCCCAAACTCTCTCCAGTGAATTCCTCAGTCTGACATTCGGAGCTCAGTCAGAGGACGTCGCTGTCGAGCTCAAATGTGGATTCTTCCAGGTTTACTTCAGGGAAAAAGTAGGAATCATACAGACCTTTAAAAGCCTTTTTTAAAGAGCCTTTACATACATTTTAAGACCTCGTCGCCACTTGGAGCTCTAACCCGGTTGACACACTTTATTATTTATTATGCATAAATATTAAGTTCGCACAATTAAACCGTCTCAGTAAAACTTGTTGAACCACTGTGTCAAAGTGACATAATGCAGACTGGCAGGGTGGCAAAATTCCATCAACACTGATATCAGCAGTAGATGAAGTGGCAGCTGTTGTAGTAGCTTCAGAAGCAGGAGGTAGGGACGGTGTTATAGCACAGAAATATGCAAGACCTGGGGCTAACATGTACAAAAGTCTTTTCCCACGCATAAACTAGTATTTCGAAAAGAAGAACGCAGACTTCCAACCAGCACGTATACAGTTTCTGCCACTGATAAGATGAGGTGGATGTGAATAATGATCGTAAAAGACGGTATACAGTGTTGTAGCATACAACTTTGGACAAATATACATATTGAAAACAACCTACAAACTTTAATACCAACATTCCCCTCCACACACACACACACACACACACACTCCTCTCTGTCTGTCATCTGGAAGTGATCGCGTCCACCATTACAGCATGCCTTGGCCGACGTTAAGCGTGTTGGTGTTGACAGCCAGCCTTTTGTCCTTCACAGCCCGGAGAGAAAAGCTCTGCACAGAAACACATTGACAAAAACCTGCTCACACACACGATGTTCACGGCTGTTAACTCACTCGTTACCAGGGGCAACTATCAGTCTCATCGCCACTAACTTACAATACCACACTGTGGAAATACTCCACTACAAGTAAAAGTCCTGAATACTTAAGTAAAAGCAGAATTTACATCGATATGCCGTAACATTATCACAACGTTGTGTTCTGACACCTTTCTATCAGAACCAGCATGAACTGTTTCAGCAGTTTGAGCTACATTAGCTCCTCTGGTGGATC